ATAGTTAACAGGTGACACACAGGTGGCAGATGACACACAGGTAACAGTTGACACACAGCTAACAGGTGACACACAGGTGGCAGGTGACACACATTTAACAGGCGACACACAGGTAACAGTTGACACATAGATAACAGTTGACACATAGGTAACAGGTGACACATAGGTAACAGTTGACACACAGGTAACAGTTGACACATAGTTAACAGGTGACACACAGGTGGCAGGTGACACACAGGTAACAGTTGACACACAGCTAACAGGTGACACACAGGTGGCAGGTGACACACATTTAACAGGCGACACACAGGTAACAGTTGACACATAGGTAACAGTTGACACATAGGTAACAGGTGACACATAGGTAACAGTTGACACACAGGTAACAGTTGACACATAGTTAACAGGTGACACACAGGTGGCAGGTGACACACAGGTAACAGTTGACACACAGCTAACAGGTGACACACAGGTGGCAGGTGACACACATTTAACAGGCGACACACAGGTAACAGTTGACACATAGGTAACAGTTGACACATAGGTAACAGGTGACACATAGGTAACAGGTGACACATAGGTAACAGGTGACATACAGTTAACAGGTGACACACAGGTAACAGTTGACACACAGGTAACAGTTGACACACAGGTGGCAGGTGACACACAGGTAACAGTTGACACACAGCTAACAGGTGACACACAGGTGGCAGGTGACACACATTTAACAGGCGACACACAGGTAACAGTTGACACATAGGTAACAGATGACACAGGTAACAGGTGACACATAGGTAAAAGGTGACACACAGGTAACAGGTGACACAAAGGTAACAGGTGTCACACATTCCACACAGGTAACAGGTAACAGGTGTCACACATTCCACACAGGTAGTAGGTGACACACAGGTAATAGGTAACACACACCTTACACACATTTAACAGGTGACACACATGTAACAGGTGTCACACATTCCACACAGGTAACAGGTGACACACAGGTAACACACACAAACATATGTTCAACTCAATAGGAATTTAGTAACGTTTGAAGAAAGTTAGTACTTTATTTGGTGTTATTAATGTTGATGCTGATGTATATTATTGATGTTGTTTTTAAATTTAATTTTTATTAAAATTTATTAAAAGACATTTTAAAAATAGTTACTACTAAAATACAGTTGGTGGGACGGCGTGGTGAAACGGTAGAGCGTTTGAATGCTAGAAGGTCCCGAGTTCGTATCTCAAGTTAGGCTTGTGACTATAGGACAACCCTGAGTCCACCCAGCTCCGATGGGTACCTGCCTTACGTTGGGGAAAGTAAAGCGGGCTAGGTATAGTGCTGACCACATTTTACCTTCATATGCCGAGGTCACAAAAACATTTGAACTCTACAACACCTGCCCAATTGATCGTTAGTTCTAAAAAGGAATCGTATAACTTTTTTAAAAAGCGGTTTAAAAAACTACTTAGTAACAATAGTAAAGTTACTTAACACCCCTTCCCCAACGCCACACTCTCTTTATAGGCGATCCCGAAACTATTATCTTGGACCTGCAAAACAAATAATTAAAAACCATTATTGTGATAAATCCACAGCACTTCTTCATTCAACCGTGGAACATCGGCGACCTCAATACACTTGGGGTTAGCCATCAACCCGTTTTTTCTTTCTGAGAAACTAAAAATGTTATATTTTTTAGAACAGATGAAGATTGTGTGTAATGAATTCTTGTAGTCGGAGACGTTCTAACTGCCCGAATAACCAAGCAACCACCAGCCGCCAAGTATTAGTTAAGTGTCACCCATAAACAAAAAGGCCGACGCGGAGAAGAACGGCGTGGAAGCAGCTGGCAGAGGCATGACTGTCATGGGGGACTGCCAGGAAGAAGCTGGCAGAGGCATGACTGTCATGGGGGACTGCCAGGAAGCGGTTGGCAGAGGCAGGACTGTCAAGGGGGACTGCCAGGAAGCGGTTGGCAGAGGCAGGACTGTCAAGGGGGACTGCCAGGAAGCAGTTGGCAGAGGCAGGACTGTCATGGGGGACTGCCAGGAAGTAGAGGCAGGACTGTCATGGGGGACTGCCAGGAAGCAGAGGCAGGACTGTCATGGGGGACTGCCAGGAAGTAGAGGCAGGACTGTCATGGGGGACTGACGGGAAGCAGAGGCAGGACTGTCATGGGGGACTGACGGGAAGCAGAGGCAGGACTGTCATGGGGGACTGCCAGGAAGCAGAGGCAGGACTGTCATGGGGGACTGCCAGGAAGAAGCTGGCAGAGGCAGGACTGTCATGGGGGACTGCCAGGAAGTAGAGGCAGGACTGTCATGGGGGACTGACGGAAAGCAGAGGCAGGACTGTCATGGGGGACTGCCAGGAAGTAGAGGCAGGACTGTCATGGGGGACTGACGGAAAGCAGAGGCAGGACTGTCATGGGGGACTGCCAGGAAGTAGAGGCAGGACTGTCATGGGGGACTGACGGAAAGCAGAGGCAGGACTGTCATGGGGGACTGCCAGGAAAATAGTCGGTCACCGACACAGTGGAGGAAGCTTTCTGTGGCGGCCCCATGTGTCTTGAGCACAAAAAGGAAAAGATGATGAATACTGCTAGGGCTTGGTTTGAACAATGTTACAACATGATCACGTGATAGGCTATTTATTTGTTGTAAGGGATCGTCCATAATTGACGTCACACTCGTAGGGGGGAGGATGGGGTCCGTAAATTTGTGACGGTGTGTGATAAGGTGGAGGGGGGTCAGATGGTGTGACGTCACACTTTCGCATTATAAAAAAGCAATGTGAGGAAACGAATTTTAGCTTTTATTTCGCGTTTTAGAAAATTGTTTTAATAAATTGCTATAGAAATGGATTAATATACTATTTATCGATAGACTTCAGACAAGATTTCGGAAAAATATCGTATTTTAAGAAAAAATCAACTGCAAATTTGAGGGGGGTTGTAGGTTGAGGTGTGACGTTATTATAGAGGGGCGGGGCTCTGGCTTTTTGTGACGACGTGTGACGAAGGGGAGGGGGAGGTAAAAATCGTCAAAAAAGCGTGACGTCATTTACGGATGACTCCTAACACCCTATGAACTAACTACATTTCAATGATTTTATTGATGTAGTTTGATTAATAATTTAAATGGCTAATAAAAATCTCGCAAGTTAATTAAATAATTGATTTTGGATAAATTTAATAAAATGACATGATAAAGGTGTTAAGTCGGTTATAAATATGTTTGCACGAGTTTCATGCTGCCTTCCAGGTGAGGCCCAAAATAGTGTAAACCAACCACGGTAAAAAGAATGGGTATGCCTTCAGAAACTCATCTTATAGTGAACAAGAACACTGATTGCCCAACTTCAACTAACCTATAAGATCTGCATCAGGTGGCTAAACACCCGAATATTTTTAGACTAACCAGTGTAAAATTTCAGCAATTTTCCTCGGGGTGGGGGGGGGGGGGGGGGCGGACACTGATAAAAGCATCTTTTCTATTTAAATTCTATTTCGTTGGGTGGGGGGGGGGGTGGTGGTGGTAGAAACAAACACTATAGTCGATATTTTATGGTCATTCGATTAGGATAGATAGGTTAGATTTTACATACGATTCAATATTTATGGTCGATCTATTTGTTGTACTTATTTGTTCTATTACAATACAAGAAACTGGGGTGTAAAATGGTGAAACTGTCAAAATTTCATGTCCTTCCGCTATTCTCTGTATACGAGAAAGTAAAAATGAAAGGAGTTATTTGTTTTAATGAACGCAGCATTGGAAATTTCTATTGTGTTATCTTCGTAAGCGGGAAATACCAATGACGTGTTTGTTCTATCAATAGAATTTACGTGGAGTTGTTTTTAGGCGATTAGATATGCCTAATTCAAGCTTCTTTTGTTTGAGACCTAAGAGCCGACATTTCCGATGTTATTTTAATGTAAGTTTTTATCTATGTTAAACTTTAAAAAACAAATCTGTGGGATTTCTAAGTATCTATGTTTGTAATTGCACGTTAACATTTAACACCCTTTTTTAAACGACAAAGTTGATTGAAATGTTGTCACTTATAGAAACAAGTTAATTAAAAAGTCTAGTGACAATTTTAGCGCAATTTCCTTATGTTATCTAAAAATAGCTCTGTCGTAGCGTAAATCAAGAGCAGGGTTAGTAAAACCATTGGTTAGTTATTAAAACGTTTTTTATTAAAAAAAAATTTCAGTATTTTATACGTTTTATTTACAATAGAGTTACATGACTAAAAACCATTGCGCGCCTAGCTACTGAACGTGATGACGAAGCCATAGAACGTGATGGTGCAGCTATTGAACGTGATGACGCGTGTGGTGTGGTTGGAAAAAATGCCTACTAATTCGGTCCAAATTTTAATTAATTAAAAAAATTTTTTTGTGACCGAACGAAAGGATATTTTTGAAAACTTTCTTCGGCAATATTGTTCTAAATTATGGCAGGAATCGATTGGTACATGTTTCAAGTCGCTAAGTGGTCTGGTTGCCGAGATATGGGCCAAAAACTGCTTTTTTTCGAGGTTTTTTGGCTTTTCCGGGAAATCCATGAAAGAAACCCGGAATTTTTATAGCCTATGTTCATCCTCGTAACTTGCTTAACATAATTGCTTTTGGAACTAGTCATCGATATTGCTTCGTTGAGGAGGAGATACGACTTAAAGCTGCGGACACACATCCATCCATTCATTCATTCATACATTCATACATCCAGAAATGACGGGTTAATAAACGCAATTCTCCAGAATGGAAATTGCGCTAAAAATGAGTAACTTCATGTCAAGTACAGAAAATGTTAATAAAACTAATGGCCAAGCTGATACAAAGTCTACAGTAAAGCCCGGTAAAGAAATGTCACATCTCTTTGCAGGTACTAAAAATACTTTTACTCTGATGTGTTTAACTCATTAGTTTTATCTTGTTTCTCATTATGTTTAAATATTATATTGTTGTACATTGACAGCAAATAGCCTGGATCGACAAGATGTTCATTAAGTTATGGCCAGTGAAGAAGACGTATCAAAATGTTTTACAGGTAATTTTCAATTCATGTTTTTACTATGCTGTGATAAGCTTGATTTTAACTCAACTGGTTGCAGCTGTTGAAACATTCGGTAGTTCTTTCTAATCTCTCACTGCCCGGGTATCTTGTGGTGGTGGTTGTAATTGAAACGGTTGTGAGAGTTGTAGTGGTGGTTGTGGTTGAAACGGTTGTGACAGTTGTGGTGGTGGTTGTAGTTGAAACGGTTGTGACAGTTGTGGTGGTGGTTGTGGTTGAAACGGTTGTGACAGTTGTGGTGGTGGTTGTAGTTGAAACGGTTGTGACCATTGTGTTGGTGGTGGTGGTTGTAGTTGAAACGGTTGTGACAGTTGTGGTGGTGGTTGTAGTTGAAACGGTTGTGACCATTGTGTTGGTGGTGGTGGTTGTAGTTGAAACGGTTGTGACAGTTGTGGTGGTGGTTGTGGTTGAAACGGTTGTGACAGTTGTGGTGGTGGTTGTGGTTGAAACGATTGTGACAGTTAAACTTTTTTTTCCTGGTTTTATGTTTGTCAAAGTTTATAACATATTAAAATGTTTACAGTAAGAAAATTGTTTTGCTTACCTGTACAGGTACACATGAAGTACAAGAATGCCTTGAAGGTCAAGGTGAGGCAGATCTACACGCACATCTGGTAAATTGTACGAAAAATCCTGGCCATGAAGGTTTTTTACCTATAAAATGCCTTGCTTTTGGTTGCAATGGCGACGCCCTGTATGACCTCACAAAAACCCTAGCTGACCTAACCGTCAGGGTAGCCGTTAAGTTCACCAGTCCAGACAGACCAGAGTTTGTACCAGGCACTAAAGATCCCTATCCTTGCTACAACACCAGGGGACAGAACTCACTGAGGACAGGGACAGGGAGGGTGGGGCAGGTGACCAAGTACACAGAGGGGATGAAGTGGGGCACCTACAGAACTTGTCCATGTCCTGAATGTGAGCACTCGGACACACCCAGCAAAGAGTGGTGGCTGGTTAATGTGAGCACAGCCACACACGTGGTTTTTGATTCGAGTGAGGCGAGACAGTCCAGCTGTAGGTTGTGGTTTGATAATGATCAAAGTCCAGTGGTCAACATTTATGGGTGGAAGATTTGTTTTGCACCCGTGGCTGGAGACACGTGTTGGTCGTATTATGTGACACACGACGTAGATATAGGTAGTAAACTGGAGGAGATGGTGGGGCGGTTTAATGGTCTACGTCGTAAATTAGAGGACAAATACAAGAGTCGTAGAGATGTGGACAAGCTGACCATTATAGTGTCACATCCTCATGGCTGTTCTAAGCAGGTCTCTGTAGGTCACTGGGTACATAAGGAGGAGTTGGATAGTCAGTCCAGAAACTCACTAACCAGGTACTCGTACACAACTTGTACCTGCCCAGGTACCAGCGGGGCTCTGGTATACAAACTGGGGCATGGCGACTTGTCTAATCATCCACACAGTGGAGCTAACTCTGGTGGATTAAATTATAGTGCGCTTGCGTTCAACTAAGACGTGTAGTTGTCTGCTCTTGTCTAGGATGTCTGTTATCATTACACAACATCAAAACGACTGATGTAATAAGTGATTGAGAGAAAGAATTTTTCTTTTGTTTTTAGCATGGTTTATATAAATCATAATAATTCCCATGTTTTTTAAATTTCTATTTCTCTGTGATGTTTTCTATGTGTTTGTTTTGGAGCAATAAAACGTATGGCAATAGTGTATTGAGATGATTAAAAATGTTTATGCAAACCATTATTTTTTATTCTATTTATTTTATTTTCAAATATTTACATCTGTAATCTGTGTCCAAGAGGCCAGTGAATTTTAAAAGGGCCCTTAATCCCCGATTAAAGTTTTCATTGTGTATTTTTCTCCTATCAAAGTCTGACGATCATCTTCACCTTGATGGAAATTTACATTTTATTTAATTCGGACTTCAAGAAATGTTAAACAACTCCAACTTAAAGAAACTTAATCTATGTGACTCCAAATTAATGAAACGTTTAATACAAAAGAAAATGTATGCTTTCAATTCAATCTTATAAAAACCAAAAGGTTTTTACAAATATGTGCACAAAGTCCGTAAATATAACTTTAAAGAACGGTGTTTAAGAAACAAACGCGATTGCTATCATATTAAACAACTCTAATAGTTATATTGGTAAAATGAAAAATAACCTACGAAAAACATCCTAGAATTGAACAAGAAAACTTGTCCTGTTCTATTTGGTGCAGATATAGAATTGTCTCGTTCAGATATTTCTCCTGGCCACATCTTACTGGACATCCATCAGCAGAATCTTAGTCTAAGACTTGAAGAAATCCACGATACCGAGGGCTAGAACCACTGAGGTCAACTCCAGAAGAAGATCTGTAAAGAAAAAAAATGATATTCTTTCGCTAACAATCAAACAATTACGTGTGTCCAAATTATAATTCTTACCTTAACTTTGAGAATAATATTGATTTTCTGTGAGAGTAACTAAGATTTTTAAAAAGACACACAACTCACCCGACGCCCAGACTTTGGATCTGTTAGTAGATCCCTGCCATTTCCGCCAATCCAAAACAACGTCTCCACGAGCTGTAGGATGAAAATATTTTACTACACATTATGTCTCGGGGATTGTGTTAGGGTGTTTGTGTCTAGAGGTGTGTGTTTGTATCTATGGGTTGTATTTGTGTGTTTGTGTCCACGAGTGTATGTTCGGGTGTTTGTGTCTACGGGTGTGTGTTTGGCAAGTCAAAAGCAATTTTTAACCACTTGGATTTTGTCTTTAGCTCGCATGCTGGAGTCAAATCGTAGACATTTCCTAAGTGGTTCCATGACAAACAATCTCTGCACGAAACAACTTATACTGAATATCCCAGAAAAATATCCCACGGCATTTTCTTTTAAAAATGACAAACAAAATGTGAATTTTTTTCATACTACTTTAAATATTTGTGTAGTGCAAATTCTTTTTACAAGTTTTTATTTAACGTGCTTCCTCTGTAGACAGCCTGTCTGTCGTCAGTCTGTCTGTCTTGATCTAAACGCTTGAGCGAAACTTCTGGCGCTTCTAACTGACAGATTCGATTAAAAGTCGGAACGTGGGTCAAAACATGAAAACAATGAGATTTGACATTAAATTTGACTTAATTGGATGCCTAGTTAATTTTTTTATGAATTATTAAAATTTTTGTCCAAATTAGTAGTCATGCTTATCCAACTATTCCGGACTATCAAACGCTCGTTATCATTTTCATTGTGTGCGCAATAGTTTTAATCATGCAACTCGATTGTAAATTTAAACAAAAATGTAAGTACTAAAAACATTCATAAAAACGTTTTAATAACTAAAAAGCTTTTATGTAATGATGCACTTAAAAGGAGAAAATAAATGATTTTCTTTAAATATTTAATAATACACTACTATTTAAATAACTATTAAGAAAAGCCTTGGTCTTTTTGAAAATATTAGTGAAGGTATCCAAAAGATAATAATATTGTGTATAGTAACCCGCGCTTTTCTTTATATAAAATGTATTGTATTATTATATAATAAAAGAAAATCTTTTATTTTCTTCTTTTTAGTGCATTATTAAATACAAGCTTGTTATTAAAACTGTTAAAATATTTTATTTAAAATTGTAATCAGTAGTATTCTAGACATAGTATTAAAATATATCTCACATTTTAAAAATTGCGTTAAAAGTATTTTAATAACAAACTTTTATGTAATGATGTACTAAAAAGGAGAACATAAATTATTTTCTTTAAATATTTAAAAATACACTACTATTAAAATTACTGTATAAGTTAGAGAAAGATCGGCAAAATAAGTTCAGGTAAGACTAGTTTCGGACAAATTAATAGAATTCAAATAAGTTTAGGTTCGAAAACTTAATTTAGATCTGCACAGTTTTATTTTAAAACATGTTTAATGCTAGTGACGTGATTTTACATTTATTGTTGTTATGCTTTTAACCTCTTACTGAAATCATATGCAAAGCATATATATATATATATATATATATATATATATATATATATATATATATATATATATATATATATATATATATATATATATATATATATATATATATATATATATATATATATATATACATATAAATATTTAAAAAAAATTTTTTTTTTACTTTATAAAATTCCTCTTTGCTCATAGCTTAGAAGTACGTATTCACTTTACCAATAAGATCCTTGATAAACAGCGTATCGTGAGCCTGGTATGGAAACCTTCTTGGTGTCCCCCTCACCATTCCATCCCACACAGCTCGGATTAACATGGAAGTTCTTTCAAAATATCTTGGCGTTATCGTAGCGTACCACTGCATTGGTTCAGTGTCCCTACAGAAGCATTTATCCCATCTTGGTGTTTCATTCCATATTTTACAGCCATTGGGTTTAAAGACTTCTTTGCCATACTTGCACAACTGAAGAAAATATACGATAATGTGTGTCTTAATTTATCTTCTGCGTTGATTATCTAAAGAATATTTGCTGTAATAATCATGGGACTCTGTAATATTTAAAAATAAAAAAAGAGTCATAATCATGGGATTCTGAATTATTTAACAATAAAAAAGAGTAATAACCATGGGATTCTGTATTATCTAAAAATAAAATTGGAGTCCTAATCATGGGGTTCTGTATTATTTAAAATTTTTAATAAGAGTCACAATCATGCGATTCTGTATTATTAAAAAATAATAAACCGGGTGAGATCTCCCCTAAACTTTCTCGAATATTTTTGTATAACACTACGGGATATGGCAATTTGGGATAAAGACAATATTTTAATCAATTTTTAGTTACTTAAACTTTCAAAAATAGAATAGAATCTCGAAGAAACCAGAATTGCACACCAAGTGAACGTCAAATAAAATGTGTATAATCGTGCGGAATATTATTAGTACTTTATAAATTCACATTTTTTTCAGAAATCGGAAATAGGCTAAATTACTACTTTCGGTAAACGGTAGTTACTAAAAATTAAGAGAAGACAGATACGTAGATCTTTTACTTATATAGGACATTTCATTTTATATATAGGATTTTGAAAAAAATGAAAATAGAAAAAGTTCCACTTCCGGTTATAGGAAATCGCTGAAAAGTTGAAACTGATCTACAAATTTCATATAATACTTATATATGAAATGTCATCAATCTAGCTGTAACGATACTCAAGTTATCGTGTTTACAGATAGACAGAAAGACAGACACACACACACACAAACACACACAGAGATTGTAAAACTGTGTTTTTCCGACACAGGGAGGTGTAAAACGTCGAGATTTCCAAAAATCTTGAGGTTTTTTTTTGCACGATTACAATACTTTCACTATACTTTGTATACGAGAAAGTAAAAAAAGGTGTCACAAAGGAGAATGAGGGAAGACAAAATTATTCTATAACTTAGCTTAAAAATCTCTTAGTCCACTCCATCAGTAACCACTCATTTGTATTAGGATAGAACAAAACTAATTTTTTTTCGATATTCTTTTCTGATGTTTTTTGTCATAAGTATACTTTGCACTCAACTATTTAATGTCCAAGGTTGTTTTGTCCTAAAATATGTAAATATTTTCGTTTGATTTTCTTAGATATAAAGTCAAACGTTATTGTTATTACTCATAAGATATTTTGTCCATTGAAATGAGTTTTAAATAAGCTTATGTGGTTTTATGAAAAAATGTTTTTTTTTAATTGAAAGAAAATATAGGCATATAGGCTAATAATTACCGATGTTGTTCCCAAATATCTGAGTAGTTTGAGCAGTCGTGATTATAGTCGAATCCATAATCAACACCACATAACATGACTCTAAAGCCTGGTTGAGGAAGACCATCTCTTCGCGTCATCAAGTGCCACTTGTCCTTTGGTAGAGTAAAAGTGCCATAGACTTGAAGTGAACTCACGCCGAACATCACACACCCTCGACATTTGGGTCTGTAGCCGTCTATAGTAGCATTGATTCCATTTGCTCTTTGAAATTCTAGCGAGTTCTCGTCGATCTGGGTGACTTGGCTGGATATGTCTTGTGCTTAGAAATTTGTGTCGATTATTTAATTTTATGTCAATTCACAAATCGTGGTTACCACCCCATCAACTATCAACGTCACCTCCACTCACCCCACTCACACATGTAATTCCCACCTTTCTATACAAGAAAGTTTATAATACCAACAAAACAGGATTTTAAAAAAAATAATATTAATGAAAGTTATAGCCTGAAAAGAATTCTAAAATGAACGCGCTTCACTCATCGTCACAATTATCTGCACCCTCCCCCCCCCCCCCCGCCCCCACCTCTAATCGCCCCTTCGATTTTCTCGTGGTTGATGGGCGACAACGCTTAAGAGCTTGCTAAGCATTGACAAAGAACATTAAAAAAACATTAGTTGGTGCGTGATCCATTTACCTATCAAAGAAAATCATGCAACATGTAGTGACAACGAAGAGAGGATGGCGAGTGAGTAGCTGATGAATATGAATTGAAGACACACAGATAAAGACAGGGCTAACGTTACAGGATTACAACAAAAGGAGCAGAAGACTGAGAAACATGGGTGAAGAGTGATGTGGAATTCAACGTTACAGAATTACAACAAAAGCAGCAGAAGACTGAGAAACATGGGTGAAGAGTGATGTGAAATTCAACGTTACAGAATTACAACAAAAGCAGCAGAAGACTGAGAAA